CCCCAAAACCCCAAAACCCCAAAACCCCAAAACCCCAAAACCCCTAAAATTTATTTAAGCCTAGAATAAAATTATTCCAAATCAATGGCTAACCTAGTCGACCCGCTCAAAGTTGGCGCTTACGGAGTGAAGCGTCCTCTCGAGGAAAAACAGGATAAAATAAAACAACTTGAAGCTAACCACAAGAGGTATTACCCAGTTGATAATCACGGCCAGCTCGATGAATGGGCTGCCGTTATTAAGAACCAAGAGGAGCAATACAAAAATGAAATGGAGCGAAATCGGATAGAGCGCAAGCTCCATCAGCAGCAATACGCCAAGGACCTTTCTAAAGGCATCGAGGATAAATAAGATGAATCATAATTTTGACAAAATGGTTCACGACCATGATGTCCGAGCGATGCTTGATAAACAGAAAGAAGTTGCTCATCTCCAGAGAGGCCTTCAAGATCGACAGAAGGAAGACAAAGTTCTACTAGGCCAGATTTATCAAAACCAGATTGACCAGAAGAACAAGAGGCTTGATAATGAACATAAGATGGAGAAAGAACTTGAGAAAATGCAAATTGATAGACTGAAAGGTATAGACCCTGCTGCCTACGATAAATTAAAGAAGCAAGCATACCAGAAAGAGATACAAGAGAACCTTGATCAAAGAAAACAAATGAAACAGTATGAAATGGCTTTGCGAGAGAACTCGGTGAGAGAGTCAAGGAAACTTATGGATGACTACGCGAGAAAAGAGATGATCAATGAGCAAGAATATAAGAACAAATTCTCGAGATTTGATCAGGGAATGGTAGATCGACAGAAGAACTACAGTAATTATGTCATAAAACCCACCCTTGAAAAACAGAGCAAACTTGATCAGATAGAAAGCAAAAATATGGCTGAATACAATAAGAAGAGGGAGGAAAATGAGCTTGGAAGGGAAGCTTGGAGAAAAGCACAACTTATGAACACTTCTACAGAGCAAAGAAACCAGATGGCTGAACTTAGCAAACAACGAATGCTAGACAATGAATTTAGACAAATTGAAACAAAGAATACGTCTGAGAGAGCAAATGAGATCAATACTTTTGACCAGATGATCAAGGACGACAAGAAAAAAAGACAGGATATGTACAGAGAAATGCTGTCTAGTCAAATACAATACAATAAAGGACTCAAAGCAATGGGAAATATGACATATGTCGAGAAGAAGCTTAATAAAATGGACCTCCGAGCTTATAAAAATAATGGAAAAGTTCCTGAAGACAAGAAAAATTCTTCTCCTAAGAAACAAACATATGAAGAACAGCAAAGGAGACTAGATGCTTATGGATATGGAAGGTACATCAGCAAAGCTCCCTCAGTGAATGTGATTGAAAGTTATAATGGGAACTCTCATTCTTTAGAGAGAAACCAGCCAGCAGGACAGAATATGAATAACTCATATACTGTAGGTGCTCAGCCTTATCATACTGTCAATCAAAGAGATCATTCAGCGACTCCACATTCTAGAAGAGCTACAAACTCAACCAGAGCAGATCCTTCAAACAGATCCCTTCGAAACGCTGGCGCAATCTCAATGTCTCAAGAACAAAGACCTGCTGGTAGTCCTAGCGGCGTCTTCCATTACAGAAACCAAGCCTTATAACCATCCAAACTCAATTTCCCAATTCCAAAATGGGGTTTTGGGGTTTTGGGGTTTTGGGGTTTTGGGGTTTTGGGG